TTTCTTTTAATTATTGGACCAAAAAGGTAAGATTTTACGTCAGGAGGGGTCTGATGGTAAATGTCAGAAACTTGAGGGGCCGAATGTCATCTTTTTCAAAGATGAGGGACCTGTTTTGCCAAAAGTACATAACTGTTTGAGAAAACGACCCATCAGCCTAAAACTCGCGATTTGTCCGATTTCTTCAACTAATAAGCCAAAACTTTTGGCATATAAATTGTAGAGCTCTGGCTTAGGAACGTTTTGGTTCAAATAGCTCGAAAAATCGTTAAGTTTTGAGAGAGAAATCTGAGTTTGAAGTTCGGAATCAAAAATCTCCGTTTTTCACCGATTTTGGGTGAGATTCTTAACCAAATCTCTTGATTTTTATGTCTATAGCTTCGTTTTTAAGTACTCTATCAAACCCCAGTAGCCTCATGTCTCATATTTGTGTTTTCGTTGTTCGATTTTTATGTTTTTAAGTTGTTAAATTTTAGTTTTAAAATCAAACTTTAAATGAGTAAACGAGACTCATTTCTTGACGAAAATTCGTGTTCTTTATGTCAAAGTGTTGGTAAAAATATTACCAAGAGTTTGGCGCAAAAAGAATGAAGAAAAATAGTCAGGAAACGAGCAATTTTGAAGCTTGAAAAGCTCGAAAACGAGCAGTCATGGTTGCTGTTTTCGTTGATTTTTTGGGCTGGGCCTGCTTTCATTTCTGTCTTGGGCTGGGTCACGGACCAGGTCGACCGGCCCAAGACCCGCGTCCGTTTGTATTTTAAAATAAAAATGGGATAAGGTGCTTGCTGCAGGTGGGTTTCGAACCCATGACCTCAAGCTCATCGCATGAATGTGTTAACCAGTAGGCTAGTCTTCGATTTGATGATTTTATGCCTTGATATTTTTATTATACAATAAACGTTTAAGTTTCAGAGATTAACATTTAAACCCCTAAAGTTCTAGAAAATATTTTTTATCCAATATAATTTTATGAGACTTTCATCAAGTTTATATGAAGTTTGTAAAATGCAAATTGTGACCCCATTTCGTTTATTTATCCCGTTTAGTTACCAAAATGACCCTACAATGTGGAAATCGGTATTTTAGCGATACTTTACGTATTTGCTTCATAAATTACCGAAATGACCCTATGTCTTGGGGATTGATCTATGAACTTCATTTTTATATTATTATTATTATAAAATTACCAAAACGACCATATATTTGGAAATCGGTATTTTAGCAATACTTTACGTATTTGCTTTATAAAATTACCGAAATGACCCAATATCTTGGGAATTGGTATCTAAGTGTTATTTTAAATTTAATCCCTATGAAATTACCAAAATGACCCTACAACGGGGAAATCGGTATTTTAGCGATACTTACGTATTTGCTTTATAAAATTACCGAAATGACATTATATCTTGGGAATTGGTATCTATGCTTTATTTTGATTATCATCTTTATGAAATTACCAAAATGACCTCACAATTAGGGAATCGGTATTTTAACAATACTTTGAGTATTGCTTAAAAAAATTACCAAAATACCCCTATGCTTTGGGATTGGACTTTTAAGCACAGTTTTAATATTCGACTTATGAAATATACCAAGAATGCTCTAAGTTAGGGAATTGGTAAAGCTATACCTTTAGTATTCGGCTTCTTAAGATTTACCGAAATGCCTCTAGACTTGGAAAATTGGTATTCTCACATTATTTCGAGTATTAATTATGTTGAACTTTAAAGTTATGGAACGACCGTTATTTATATGTGTGTGACATGTTGTCACCGTTATTTATTTGCAAATCTTAAACGAGACGTTTTGATCACAAGACATTATTTACTTTGCAAGCTATTATTTTAATTATTTGGTAAAATATTTATTAGTCAAGAAAATGTGAAGTTTTATAAAATGTACGAGCAACAATTAATGTTTTAACGACGTCGCATTATTAATAATATTTTAAGAAAATATTGGAGTGAAACATGAGATATGATGTTATCGGGGGTTGATCAATAAAAGGAAAAGTCGTGTTAAGATTGTTAAGGAATGGTAATCAATTTAATTACGATTATTTAAGACGCTTAGGAATGGTATAAATTATCATGTAGGTTGCCGTTTTTTAGAGAACGACCTATCGAACGTTAACGATTCAAGGTGAGTACATTATACGATTTTTATGGGATATATACATGATTATTACAAAAGTATTTTATCTATGATATTTGCATGATGTGTTTATATGCATATGATGATAATTTGATTATTTAATGTGCATGATATTTAAGTATATGCATTTTATAAAATATGATGTGGATGAGAAAGATTATGATGACTTGATATTATCAATATAATATTCAAGTATGTGTATAATGTGATAAATGACGATGATACATATGTGATTTATGTTGTCACTTGCATGAGATG